CCCATCCTTCACCTCTTGCCCTTTTGCCCAGGACATTCAGGCACACCTACTGTGTGCTAGAGCAGGGATGGGGAATGAAACAGACAAGAGCCCCCCTTGAGATTAGTCTCATCAGGTGAGATAACACCTCTCCCCAAATATAAAGAGAATGGGAGATGAGACACAGGAGACAGAGTCCATATTTAGGGTGGGGGTCATTGCCGGTTAGACTGACCTCCAGGACAAAGATGAGTCTGCCTTGTTCCCCACTGTTCCTCTGAGAGCGTTGTTCACCAAGAGACTGACCCGACACCCACCCTGGTGGTGTCATTTTCGTGGACTCTGGCCCAAAGTCTAAAAGGTTACTGGCTCTAAAGGAAGGAGGGGGCCCCTAATGTATATTCGGACATAGCGAAAGAGACATTGCCAGGAAAATTGCATAAAATATAAAAGTGTGAAGGTAAAAGTTGAGTATAGGTGGATCACGAATACGAGTAAAAATTCTGAACAAATGCAGAAGAGGCCGTTAATCTCTTGGCATTCGAAGAGTGTAATCGCTCCTCTCCCTCGTTGCTGATGCTATTTACAACAGTACTTAAGTCCAATGGACTACATCAAATTAAAATGTTTCTTAGTAGCTAAATTTGAGTAGTAAAAACAGGTGAAATGAAGTTAACATTTTAACTCAGTATATCTAAAATACTGTCATTTCAGCATATAATCGATACAAAAATTATTGAGATCTTTTACATTTTCTTATACTGCCTTTGAAATCTGTATTTTACAGCACGGTCCTAGAGCACAGCTTGTCAAAGTGTGTGTAACCTCAAAAAAGGCATCAGGTAATTCTTTGGGAGTGAGATCTAAGAACTTATATTTTATTTAAAGTCTAAGAAAGAAATTCAGCTCCATAAATATTTAACATAGGACTAATACCAGCATCCTTGTCAGCAGTATTTATCAGGTCAATTATCTTGTAAGGTTTGGACACATTGTGGCGCCCGAGTGCGAGCTTCACCAGAAGCAAGCCCTCATTTGCTTGTCAACGCACTGCGACCCGCTGCACGTTCGGTGGCTAAAACGATCATCCGATTTTGAGGAAATTGACCTTCAGAACAGGAAGAAGATCCTAGACTGACAAGCCCAGGGATGGGAGCCAAGAAAACAATGACCAAGGACGGAGCTGGCACTGTGGGAGAGTAACTTTCACCAAGATGAAACACGCTTCTCCAACACCGGAGAATGAACACAGGCCAGCCAGGTGGTGAGGCTGGGTCAGCAGCGGGTACCTCGAGGCGATTACGTAAGTGAGGGTTAGAGGCATAACCGGTTAACGTCCTACAGGGCGACAAGAAGCCATGGCCTCCAGGGTCTTCTTTTCTGCAGGGCAGGATTTATTCTGAGGCCTGAATGGACGGTCAGCTGCAGAGACACGCGAAGGCACGCCCCACGGTGGCGCAGCCAGTCCTGGGGTCGTGGCGCGGAGGGACGTCGGAGGTCGCGCATCGTCCGCATCCCCGGGGCGTCGGCCCCCATTCTGCACAGGACCTCGGGTCCGGGGTTTCCCATAGGGGGTTAAAAACCGGCCACCTAACCAGAGCGGCCAAACAGACGATCGACCACTCCAGACTCCCCAGAAGTAGACACGTGGAGTGAGGATGTCCACGCGCATCAGTCATAACGAGCAGCAAAACGCGCGTGCACGTTGCGCCCGGCGCCCTTCGACCTCGGCCGGAGATAACGTCGGCATAAACGTATAAACGGGGAATGTGCGCACTTGGTGGCCCGCGCCCCGGTTGCCACTTGAGGCAGGGCCGCGTAGAGACCCCACCCGGAGCAGGGACTTCCCGACTCGACCCCCGCGGAGGACCCGGGACCGGAACGACAGCCGACGGCGCACGCAATCTCGGTACGGCGTTCGAGGCTGCAACCCTCGCGAGACCCCGCGAGAGCGCACATCGCGCGAGAGCATCAGCAGCACCGCCCCTTTAGCCGCGGCAAGCTCCCCTTCCCCTTTCACAGTGCGAGGAGCTCCCGCCCCTCCCAAGGCGCGGCCCCGATCCACGCACGCACGCACGCACGCACGCGCACGCGGTGGCGTCAGTTCCCGTCGGCGGCGGCGGCGCCGGGCCCCGCTTCCGCCTTCCGCTGAGGCGCGCGCTTTGCTCTCATCCTGTTCGGGATCATGGCGGCCACGGCCACGATGGCGACCTCTGGCTCGGCGCGGAAGCGTCTGCTCAAAGAGGAAGACATGACCAAAGTGGAATTCGAGACCAGCGAGGAGGTGGACGTGACCCCCACGTTCGACACCATGGGCCTGCGGGAGGACCTGCTACGCGGCATCTACGCCTACGGTCGGTGGGCGCGGGCGCGGGCGCGAGCCGGGAAGGGGGCGGGCAGGCAGGGCCAGGCCCCGTGGCCGAAGCCCGGGCCAGCCCCGGGCGCCGGGGGTCGAAGCCGAGGCCTGGGGCCGCCGGTGGGCGACCCCCGCCCCCAGCACGCCTGTCCCACACCGCGTCCCTGTGTTGTCCTCGGCGCAGGGCACTGTGCTGGTCCCTCGAGGGCCGCAGTCTTCTGGGCGCTTCGGAGGCAGTCATTCAGCCGTTGATCGTCTGCATCCGCCGGGAGTTAGGGGCATGCGCGGCTCTAGGCGCCGGGGGTTTAGCGGTGGACCGGGCAGGCTCGTGCCCTCAGAGACGGAGCTTAGGTCACGTTTGGGAGATGGATAGTGTACAGCCACGGTTACTTCAGGCAGCGGTGATGCCTACGAAGAAAGTAAGGCGGGATCAGTGAATGCAGTGCAGCTGCGGGAAAGAGAGCGATCAAATGGAGCAAATAGATAACGGGGGGTCCCAGGGACGGTTGACGTTTGAGGTGAGGTCTGGATTAAGTGTCCCATTATGAGACTGTGGTGAGACTGGGCAGAGGAAGCAGCTGATGCCAGGGGGCTGCATGTCTGAGCGGGGTACATTCCAGGCACCAAAAGAAGCCAGACGGCTGTCCTTGCCAAGGAGCAGCCCCGAGGCGCAGGGGCACGAAGGTTTTAAGCCCTTGATTCCATCCCCCACATCCTTAATTTTTACACAAAAGACTATATCTCCTCCATTCATTAACTGATAACTAAGAGGTGGGTAAGCAAGCAGGGGTACAGAAGCAGAATGCGTCATTGTTAAAATATTTTGTACCTATAGGCAGTGATCCGGCCAGTAAATCCCTTTAGTTAATAAATTTTTAGCAGATAACTAACTAGAAGTGAGACATGGCGGTTAGCACGTACCATGTCTTATCCTTGACCTATTGTTTCTAAAGGTGAGGTCACTACAGTACAGCCACGGTTACTTCAGGCAGCGGTGATGCCTACGAAGAAAGTAAGGCGGGATCAGTGAATGCAGTGCGGCTGCGGGAAAGAGAGCGATCAAATGGAGCAAATAGATAACGGGGGGTTCCAGGGACGGTTGACGTTTGAGGTGAGGTCTGGATTAAGTGTCCCATTATGAGACTGTGGTGAGACTGGGCAGAGGAAGCAGCTGATGCCAGGGGGCTGCATGTCTGAGCGGGGTACATTCCAGGAACCAAAAGAAGCCGCCTTTCCTGGGAGCTCTGGGGATGAGTCCGGAGAGCGTGGCAGGGGTCAGATCTTGCACAGCGTCACGTGAGGTGATAAAGCATGTGGATTTTGTTTCTAAGTGCAGTTGGAAGCCTTCGGAGGGTTTTAAGCTGGGCAGTGATCCTGGGTTGTCCAGGGTGTCTGTGGGTTTGAGGGGAGAGGATGCAGGGTGATGAGTTAGGAGGTGTTTGCTCTGGTCCAGGGGAGAGACGATGGCGTGTGGATGGAAGTGGGGTGCCACCAGGGTTTGCTGATGGGTCGAGTGTGAGCACCAGAGCAAAGGGGGCCCATGGGATTCCTGGTGATGCTGCCCTTCGCTCGGGTGGGGAGCACTCGAGGGAGGCAGATCGGAGGCTCTAAGACATGGCGAACTTGAGATATTGGGCAGGCAGCGCCTGGGAAGAGGGGAGTTGGGGATGCAGATGGGAGTGGTCTGCATCTGCGCTTAATGCCTGGGATCGGAGCGCCTTTAATCCAGCAGTCCGTGATGTCACCACAGTTTAGACAGCAGAGAAGTTGCTGAGGGGGCGGGAGGAAAAGTCGCAGCTGGGCCTCACAGCCTTACCTGCCCCTTGGCACCGGGGCACCCTGCCCTGAGACAGGTTTCAGTTTCCTTCATGCACCTGGTAATCATGAGGTGTTTAAGTCACCTGTCGTGTTTGCTTTTGTGTTAGATGAGAAATCGTATACGATTTAAAAGACTACCAAAAAATAATTAAAATGCGGTTTCTGTACGTAAGTTTTGTTCACTTGGAAAATGCTATTACTCCTGCAGAGTCGCCTCATCCCTTGGTAATTTATACTGCGATGCGAGGGACAGAGGGGCGGTTCTTGTAACTGCACCAGGACAGGAAGGAGTATGGCGGACACCCCGCTGTGCCACCCTGTCGGTAGACGACATGCAGGTGACATGAACAACCTGCAGACGCAGTGGGCGGAGAGAGTGGTGATCACAGCACCAGTGGACTGATTGGCCTTTTTGTAATTTGAAAAGGAACGCACAGAACAGAGAAGTAACGCAGGTTATCGTAATGTAGTCAAACCGTGAAGTAGTAAGTACATAGACTGCAAAGTGAGCCTCTGCCACCCGTTCTCCAGAGTCTACCTGGAACGTTTCGTTTGTTTCAAACCTGACCAGGACCCTTGTATTCTGCAGGACGGCCCATTTACAGAGACTTTGTACAAATAAGGTCCCATGTCATTCGGTGTAAAAATCCGCTTCCGCCCAGTTTGTTCAGCGGCTGTTTCTTGAGAGCTTAGTACGGTGGACATCGGGGTAGGTGGGGGTGGGGGTGGAGGGTCAAACAGATCCGCTTCTGTCCCCAGGAGCTCACAGTGTGTACTTGTAACGCGATCACCTGGCGGTTGGAGCTCAGTTTTTCTGTTTTTCTTCACAGGATTTGAAAAACCGTCGGCAATCCAACAGCGAGCCATCAAGCAGATAATTAAAGGGCGAGATGTCATCGCACAGTAAGTCCGCCTGCAGCGGGGTCCCTGGGGCAGTGCGGGTCGAGCTACATGGGCACGAACACGCTCACTCCTCTCAGTGAACACAGCGGATGTGTTTTAAGATTGTTCTCCAGTTTATTGTAGGACTGTAGCATATGGTATAACGTATAAAATATGTTGGTTGATAATTCTTCACGTTGTGAGTAAGGCTTTTGGTTAGTAGTAGTTAAGTTTTGGGGGATTCACAAGTTGTCTGTGGGCTTTTGACTTCGAGAGAGATCAGCACCCTTAACCCTGTGTTGTTTGAGGGTCACCTGTATAATTAAATGCTTTGGGGTGACCAGTTTTCTCAGTTTTTACGTGTTTGTTATCAACTGTTTCCTTGACTTTGGACACAGGGTGTTTTGTTCGTTTTTATTTTTCTGTCCTGTGTGCTAGAAAGCTTTCATTTTTTTAGCCAGCTTTATTACCTATCCATTGGCACGTGGCATTGTATTTAATACCCTTTTAATAGCTTCATTCTTGATTTGCCTAATTTTTAAAGACGCATTTGCAAAAAGAAGAGATCGCAGGATGGTTTCAGACCAGAGTTATGTCACGTGAAGGGGAAGCCCTTTCTCTGCCGCCTGGGGCACCTGTTGGAGGGACAGGTTTTGCAGCTCCACCACCCCTGATGCAAAAGTCACAGCTGCCGTCCTTGTCACCTGTGATTTAAAAGTCGCAACGTGGTGCCTGAGTCCCACCCACTTGCAGCTGAGATGTTGTTGGTCTGTTTGGGGGGCAGGGGCATCTGCTTGGAAGAAGTGCCCGGTGCTCCCGCCCCTCAGAGCACCACCGCGGCGGGCCGCGGGAGCGGGAACGGCGACATTTGACACGTGGATCTAAGTCCCCTTCCTCTGTTCTCTTTAATAGGTCTCAGTCTGGCACAGGCAAAACTGCCACCTTCAGTATTTCCGTCCTCCAGTGTTTGGATATTCAGGTGATTTGCAGCTCTGTTTAATCCTAGGGAATCATTTCTTTTCCTAACTGCAGTGTTCAAAAAGTATAATTTTGCTGTTTCTAGTCATACTGACCCAACAAATCTTTTAAGAGGATCTTAATTGCGCACTGACACCTGGGCTCACTCACACCCTGTCGTGAGGTCCTTTGTATTCAAACTGGTGGGAGGTGTTGTCTGCGAACTGCTGCCGGGTTTGCGGTTTCAGCGACATGTCGTTCACCTCCATGGGTCGGCGCAGGACGACTCGCCAAACAGACGTACGTCTGAGTGAGCACGGGCCACCTCAGAGACACTGAGGGGTCTCTGCTTTGTGGCAAATTCTTTCACCAGGTTCGTGAGACCCAGGCTTTGATTTTGGCCCCAACGAGAGAGCTGGCTGTGCAGATCCAGAAGGTGAGGCGGGGCCGGGCGGCGGTGTCAGGTTTGCAAGCGCTGCTCAGAAGCCAGTTGCAAAAGGCCAGCTGGTGGACTTAGCTGAAGCCCGGTTTTCTGTTGTCTGAAATTTCTTTTCCTGATTCCAAGTATTTTGCCATAAATCATTACGTAGTGTTATATGAATTGCTGGTTTGTAGCAACTCATTTTGAGTATCCCCTGTGTGATTCCAGAAGTTTTTGCCGTCTTAGAATTATAATTTTTTTCAAGAAAAAATTGGTTTTAATAAAAATAATTGTAACTATTTTATATTCATCCTACACACTTTGGAAGGATGTACGCCGAGTTGTTAACGTCGGTGGATAGGATTATGAGTTTTATGTTTCTGATTTTCCTGTGATTGATATGTATTGCTTTTATAATAAACCAGTAAAACTACCCCCATTTTGCTGCAGAAAGAGTAGGAGGGGGAGGAGTGGGCTCCCCTCG